ATGCCAAAATATAAAATATGGATACTTTTGAAGAACAATTTAAATAAATGTTAAGGATTTGACCTAAAGGGAAGCCATGCCCACCTAGAGCTTTCACTGATGTATAACAGGCTGCCATGTTGTCATTAATATATTGATATCATCAATGTCATAAAAAGAACCCCTGTGACTTATTCTAAAGGAGAAAGGAAACAGATTATAAAGTACCATGCATTTTGCAATCTATTTACACAAAATAAGGTTATATATTTATGGATATATATGCACAGAGATTGGCTAAGCACAAAAGTGATGGTTGTTTGGGTGGTGATATTTTGAGAGATTTTTATTTCCTTAATCTTGATTCCCCTCACCTTTTTTTTTTTTTAACACGATGTCTCTATAGATTTTGCAAATGTGCATTTGTTTTCAAAAGCAAAAAAACACACCATTTTTAAAGAGTAGCTTTGGAGAAGAAATTGCACATACATTTATGCATAATTACAAGTCTATATACTCCTTTTCAGACACTGGGTATTGGCTTACAACTGGGTTCCCAGTAAGATCTTAGTATTCTTTTGAAATTTGAACACTGTGGATATGTTTTACCTTTTAAGCATACACACCCACACACATATACCATTTTCAATTATGAAGCACAGTTGAGAATGTAAATGACCTATATTTCATTAGAGATGGATTGTAGCTGTTTTATTCTAGTGCCTAATCCATAGACCTTTTAATATCATCTCATTGTCGAGAAGCCTGATATATTATTCCAAGTTCAGAACAACTTGGTAACCTTTGTCTGCCTTTGTGTGAAAATGCTTTATCTCAGGAACGGGAACATGAAAGTGGAGGCAGGATCGCACGCGGTGCTTTGGCAAATGGTAGACTATGCTGTGATTCATCCCTTACATTCAGGGGAATAACATTTACCTCTATTCTCCCCGTATAAGCTCCTGATGCTTCGGCTTCATTTCTGCTTTCAATTCTGAGCCCAGTTTTTTTTTTTTTAATGCAAACCATCTCTTACGGGCCCCATAGGAAGTCGAGAACGCTTTGTGCGGCAGCAGTTCCTGGAGGGGGTACTGATGCGGGCCCAGTAGCGAGGGCCTGCAGGGCATCCTGCCTGCACACACCTGCTTTGCACTTGGAGTTCCTGCATCTGTGGGCTCTGCTGCCAGCTGCACCTGCCTCAGCTGTGCCAAAGCCATGGGTCCCTCGGGGCCCTGAGTACAGAGAAGAAAGAAACACAGTGCTCTGGGGCCCAGAGGGACAGGATCCCCAAATGCTAAAGATGTGTCTGAATGCTGGTATTTCTACCCGAAGAGATACTGTAAAGAAATATGCAATTTAGTCTACAGCCTTTTTTGTGTTTTGCTTTTGAGATCTTTTAGTGACAGGTTTCCTCTCCTGAGTTATTTCCTCCTCTTTCTTCTAACTGTCCCTCCTTTGATTGGGATGTGTCTCTATGAAAATACTGCCCACATTCGTTTCTGAGGGAATTTCTTGGTTTGCACTCCCAGCAAAGAATCAGTGTTTGGGTGTGAAGGCCGATGTTCACTCATGGTCTGCCCGTGAGAACACCGGGGGTTCACGGAGATCCTTTTCTTGCACTGCACCCAGCAGACTACAGAGGAAACATGGCCGCCGCCAAGGGCTCGGTGCCATCAGAACATTTGGTCTCTCGTCTCCCAAGTCCTCTTTGTTTTTGATCGTGACATTTCTTCGTGCTCAGATGCATACATGATGTAACATTCTTTGTTGATGTTCTGAAATGTGCTTTAAAGTTATTTTGGCTTAGCATAAAATAAGAATGGGGAACTAAACTTTTCTGGTTGAAACACTAATCTTTTCCTTCCCCTTCTCATTCCCCTGTCTTTCTGCGCCAGGCATATTTGTACGCCTTTAAACCCAAGACTTGGTATGTAATAAGCCCTAGACTGTTTTTGTTGGAAACAGGGCAAATGAGAATTCTCTCCAGGGGATCTAGAGACCTTTATGGTGGTGGGAGAGAAAGCCCTAAAGGAGTTCCTCGCAGCCGAACTGTTGAGGAATGATGGGAGTTCAACAGCATGGAAATTCTACTTCTCGCTTCAGCTGAGAAGGTGCTTACAAAGGTAGCTGGGTGATTTTAGCAATTTGCCTTATTTTGAAAATCCAATTTGGAAGCTTCATTAAAGGACACTAATTTAGTGTCTCCGGGGAATATGTGTTTAAAGGAGCTTGTCGAGACAATCTTAGGTGTTTGCCGGTGTGTAGGTGAGCACAACTCCCCAAGCTGGGGTTGCCTGGTTACGAGCAGGCTCTTTCATTTCAAACATGATACCAAATAAATTCACAAGCACCCAGATCAAAAGAAGAACAGCACCACTTTCCCTTCTCACACCACCACCGTCTCCTGTCCCTAAAGTGAAGCCGCTTTCAGTGCATAAACAATTCTGTGACAGGCACTGTGGGTCTATCACAAGAGGTCCAGTAAGGGAGACATCAGTGTTAGTGAGGTTAGTGGTGGTTAATAAATGACAGGTCGAGGACTTTTGGGAATGGCAACTCTTTCCAATTGTTTTTAAAAAACACAAACACCTTCTGAATGCCTAGAAGAATCACTTCCTGCTCACTGCTTGTCTGACATTCTCAGAAGTATATATTCAGTCCCACACTGGGACAGAAAACTTAAAATTGGATCGCTGAAAGTTATTTGTCTACATGGCCTCAGATAAACTTGAGCCTTCTCCAGTTTCCTAATTTGTTGACAAAATGTCATGAGAAAGGGTAGAAAATTTTAGGTGGAGCCAATTAGTCTTATTCTTCTTTGGGATGCTTTCCTTTTTGTGTTCAATGTTGCCATCCAGTCTGTCTGTCTGTCCATACAGTTTTAAGATGTGTGGAAACATTTGGTTTTGTTCTTTTACATAATCTCTGGAGTTTGCACTAAGAGTACTGATTGAGTTGCCCTCCCCCCCACCCAATGGCTTAGAATGTCTAATTCAGTTTGTAGCAGCGGGTTCCATTCTCTTAGTGAATTCTCAGAGTAAAATCTGATTTGTTTCAGGAAGAATTTGCATTAAGGGCAAGCCCTTAAGTTTTCCTGTTAGTTAGTTAGTTACCCATCCATCCAGTCAAGAGATGCTGATGTCTAGTCCCATCCAGAAAGAAAGTCAAATACAGTGACCCTCATTCCATTTGGTCCCAATTGTGTGAAATTATGACTTAGCAGAACTTGGCATGACAACCCCCCCTCCAAAGTGGGATTTTTCATGATTGGAGATAAAGGAAGAGAAAAAGAATTGGAAATATTTTTTACTAATTTCCCCTTGAATTCCATATGGCTGGAAGAAAGTGGGGTGGGGGTGGAAATGTCTGTTAAAATGTTTTTGGAGAGGACTGAGCAGAAATAGATCAACATAAGGGTCTTGAATTTCTTGGGCTTCATTTGCTGAAACCTCATTCTGATGCTAGCAATAGCTGATCCCAAGGCAGACAACTTCTAATATTCAGAAAACACAGTAATGATGTATTCATTAAGGGCCAGTACACCCTTCTCCTATTTTTCACAGTGTTTTGTAGAACTACATACATGATCTCTTTGGCCCTTATAGTCACCATGTTAGCATATGTGAACATGGCTACAGCTGTTGAAATTGCATTTCTTTAAAAAGGGGAAGGTGCATTCCTTAATAAATCTGTTTATAGTGTCTGTCATCAAAAAGGATGTCAATAAATGAAACTAAAAGAAGGTGGAGTTTTTATGATATGGTTTATGCTAGTTATTTATTTGTTGTCTACTCATGGGGTGACTAATTGCAGCTGATAAAAGTTGATTTTCTCCTCTCCAGTTTATTGTGGGATGGGGTGTTCATTGTACCAGCTCCATAGTTATTCAGTGTCTACATTTCAGAAGCTGAATTGCTGGATACTGTCAAAATGAGCTTTGGCAATTCCGTGCAGGCATGTACAACTATAATTTTGCTTCACATTAATAACAACCTAGCAAAGAAACCCAGAATCAAATGCCTTGCTCTCAGCTGGGGGCAGAAAGCCAGAATGATATATCTTGGCTGGTGGCTTACAATGTTGGACAAGTCGGCGCTGCACGCACTGAGGGTGGGTGGGTGATATTCCGGAAATGTATTCCCATTTCTCCACAATTCCTTTTTTTTTTTTTTTTTGGTAGTGTGTGCCTTGAGACAATAAAAAAAAAAAAGGATTACAGATAATAATAATAGCACATCTCCAAAACAAATGGAAAATGCAGCTCTTTTGTTTCTTTGGATGTCAACTCAGTTCCCTGCCCCATACTCTGCCCAGCGGGCCTTTCTGCGGCACCTTTGTGATTCCAAACTAGCGCTCTGGTGGCCGCAGTCAGGGCAGTGGTCCATAGGGAGTGAATCCTGGCGCTGCGCACCGGACTTTCTCTCTCGCTCAAAGCCGCGAATCTCTGAGAGCTCTGAGGCCAGGGATTCACTGGGTGGAGTGAGGTGTTTTTGTGGGATATTCTCTGCAGAGTTGGCCTGGAAAGTGAGCACCGGAGCAAGGGATCTGAGCAAGGATTTGCCAAGTGCCCAAGGAGTCGCGAGGCGCCAGGGAGCGGTATGCATTTGGGCTCAGGCAACCCGGGCAGTGCGCGCTTGCTGGCCCGGAGCAGGGAGGCTGTATGGAGGGGCAGGGGGCAACGTGCCAGTTTTCTCTCTGATTAATGATGTTCACGCTGCTGTGCGTGGCTCACGCGCTTTGTCTCTAGCCTTGGGGCTGGTGGAGAACGGCCAGGGGAATGTATGGAACCGCGCGCACCAGGCGCACCTGGCAGGTGCCCGTGCTCCGACTCGGCCAACTCTGGCCGCGCCCTGAGGCAGAGAGGCTCGGGCAACCGCAGGCACCCAGCCGCGGCCATCTCCGGGGTGTGGCGGGTCAGGGGACTGGAGTCTGCAGCCCGAGCAGCTGCGGAGCCACATGGCACACGCGCAGCGTTGCCTCCAGCCGGGGCGGGACCGGACACCGCAGGGGCTGCAGAGAGAAGCCGGGCACCGCCCCCCACGGCAGTGCCAGCCGCGTGGGAGGGCAAAGTCGGGCGGAGGGGCAGACGACGAAGGCGGGGAGGCAGGGGACGCAGAACCGAGGGACAGACCGAAGCTGGCTGGCTGGCTCAGAGTGGGACTGACAGTGGCAGCGCTAAGGACAGGTGCGAGCAGTCAGCTTGAGACAGAGGGAAAGAAAAAAGAAAGAGAGGATTCGCGTGCTCCCTCCCCTGCAGACGCCCTCCTCTGTCCAAGGGAAGAGGCTGGGGCACTGAGTGGGAGCGGGAGACAGAGAGATGTGGGCTCAGAAGAAGGCAAGAGGGACCCTGTGTCGCTAGTGGGACCGAGCAACAAGGAGGAACAGACAGACCCACTCACGGACTGTCAGCGAGAGTGGCGGCCGGAGAACTGAGCGCAGGAAAGCCAGAATCCCGGGCTGTGCTGTCAGGCTGAGCGCGAGACAGACAGACAGACAACGTGCAGAGAGACAGACGGGCATACAGGAGGTGGGGGCACGTTCATTCCCAGCAGCCCCCCACCCCTGGTCAGAAAAGGCAGCGGCGCGCCCCCCGAGTGTGTCTGGAGCAGCGTCAGGCGGCAGGGGTGGCGGGGTCGCCCCGCTGAAGCCACGGGCTTTGCCGAACCAGTGGCCGCCACAGCCTTTGCAAGGATCCCAGCCTACGCTGTAAAAACCTCGTTTTACTAGCAGTTAAATAAATCGACCAAAAAAAAAAAAAAAACAACCAAGCCAAATCAAACTAATTCAGCCAAATCAATCGTTGAGAAACAATAATATTAATAAAAGCCAAAAACTTAATCAAATCAGACAAGGCACCAAGACGCTGGGGGGATATCCACTGTGCGGTCAAGGTAATAATCAAGGTCTCCGACGTGAGCGTTGCATGCCTTTTGTGAATCGTTTCCTTCTTTCTGCCATATATGTGTGCCTTTCTTTCTAATTGTTTCAGTCTGTGTTTCTCCTTCGTGTTTGTAGAAAGCTGTTGTTATCTGTGTATTGTGTTATGTTTGTCAAGAGGGGTAAACAACCCCTCCCCCAAATGAGGCAGAAATGGAAAGATTGGAAGAGGATTGGAAAGGGCAGTTCTTCCCATCAGAGAACTCCACAGTGATTTATGCAGGTATCGAGATAGAAAGTTTCTAAGGCTCTGATTTCATCTGAAATAGAGCCATACAAGGCACAAAAAGTTGTCATCTGTTTGTTGGACTCTCAGGACTTGGGGTCCTGGCTCCCAAGGGGTTGGGGGTGATAGATGGTGAGCTTTATTTTTACACGTTTGAAAACTGTGTTTCATGGCAAACCCTAATTGGACATCTTCTGTGGCAGACTGTAAGTTTCAGTGGTAGAATTGAGTTGAATTAGACAGGTGTTTAGAAAGTTTCTTAGGAAGAGAAATGGACTGAATCTTTCTCCATAGAAATAGAGCTGGAAAGGATGCGGTTGCTGTCGGCTGCTCAGGTTCAGTACTTGGCCATCTCCTGAGGATACAGGACAAGGAGAGAGTCCAAGGCTAAAAGGCAAAACAAAGACGGAATCGCAAGTTATGGGGATGGGGAGCTGGTAAGCGCAATGCAAGGCTGGTAGATAATCGCTTTCACGAGAATGTGTTTAGAATGCAGATACCAGATACCTGCTCGATTTATGATCATTGAGGCTATTGGTATGATACTTCAGCCTCTCTCAACAAGCATAGCGTTCTCCAAAGTTGAAAGGAAACTGTACAAGATTGCGTGCAAATGCTGACTAAACCCGAAAGATTCCTACCTCCTCCTCATCCACTTTGGAGATCATCAAAATTGCTATGATTGTTTAAAGAAAACAGAGAAATGGAGATGACAGGGAATCATTTTTTATATGGTAAAACTTAGAAAATCTTTGACACACGCTTTAAAATAAATGCACCTGCTCCCTTGATCCTCTGTATTTGTGTCACTACAGGGCTTGCATGTCTTAATAGTATTGTAGTTCATGTCATTTTCACAAAAGACAGTCATTTGGAAGCTGAGAGCTCTAGCTATGTTTTGTTCAAATAGCCAAGTAATCTACTCTCTTGGCAATAATTGCTTCTGCTGCATTCCTAATGTGGATCGCATGTGAGAAATGATGTGTGCACTCCTTTCAGACTTATGTGGATTTTTAAGGTATGTGTTTGTGTTTGAACCTCTATTTCCTTTCATATGGCAGATTTTGACTTCTTTTTATCACTTCAACTACCAGAATATTTTTAAATTTTCTGGATAGTTGAGTATATTCTCTAAGGAGTACACTGTCTTGTCACAAAGGATACAAAAGGCTAATTTATTATTATCCTTGCTTATCGATGCAATTAAGAGCTTTAAAATAACTTGGTTTAGATGCAATTTCCAAGTCATTTAGACTCCTATGCATGCATGTCTTAATTTACATCCTCTGGACATGATTTTTGTTACTTCATAAATAATATAAAGTTGCTGTAGACTATTTAACAGAATACTTTGTGTAGGTGAGTCATCTTTAAAGAAACTTACCCAGCTCCAGAAACTGACTTGCAGTTTCTCCGTGACTTCATTCCACTACAAGCTGATGCACTTTGCAATGTTCAGCTCAGACCAAGACAGGCTTGTGTGTGCCATTAGGTTTGCAAATTGCTGCTCTCCCAGTGACTTTCCCTCCCAGATCCCAGCTGAGTGGAGTTACTTTGAGAACTGTGGCGTTAGCCCTGTTAGAGCATGCTCCAGTGAGGAGTTCTGTGCAGTCTATTTTTAATGCTATTTAATGAAGGAGCAAGCGCCTCACTCAGCAATAAAGGCAGCATGATGGAAGACAGAGCAGTGCGTGGTTATGGATACTGGAAAAGGATATTTGGGAAGGTACAGACTGGCTGCTGGATATGGTAATTTTAATTAGTCCTAATACATTGCACTAACAGAAGTCAATTGATTTTTGTGGGCAATTTACACATGAATAGTTTGGTATGTCTTCATAAACCTCTTCAGTGATTCTTGGAAAGAAGACTCAATAATTGGAGTGCCTTAAAACTTAAGTGAGATACTTAAGGGAGTTCCTGCATGCATACTATTTTTAATACAAGCTGTCAGGCTCTTGGGTGGTGAGAAGTGCAGAAATAATTTCTGTTTACTATAAAATTGCTCTAGTGAAGGGTCTGGAGCTGGGAAAATGTAACTATCATCTTTCTATGGTATTATGTTAAGTTGAAGCTCTGCCTTGTGAATTTTTTTTTGTAAACTTGAAGGCTAGATCCAGAATTCTGGCAACTCCGTGAAGTAGAGAGTTTTTGATTGATTGAACCTGATAGAACATTTGAGTTGTTTTCTCTCCTTATTTTGAAATAAGCACAGTAGATTGTCTTCCGGAGGTTAAATACTTTAAAATGGAGATTGCAGAGATAGCACCGGTACTTTTCGGAATGTAATAATGAGGTGGGGGTATCTTTGTATTATAGTGTGTAAAACATAAGAAGCCAGCTGTCTGCAATGGTTGCGTATATGCAGAACACTTGTCTCCAGATAGAACGTGATAACGTTTACCAGGAAAGGTCTCTGTAGTTCATTTTCATATTAACAATATCCTGTAATCGGGTTATTTCTTGGTTCAGAGTGAAACTGATTAGACCAATGCCCCAGTGGTTTTAAAATTAATAAACATAAGAGAAAGTGATCTTTTATTAAGTGGGAAAGTGAGCCACATAATCATTATTAAATAAAGCTGTTAGAGCAGTATACAAAGTTGTTCTGGATTTTGCCAATTTTTATGAAAGACAATAAAACAAAACTACTAAGGGAGATATATTGCGAGGAGTTACTGTAACTTGTTGTTGATATTGTTTGTGTTCTGCACTTCGTTCGTACTTCCAGAGGGGAAAATAATCCTCACTAACTCCAATGTTTTCCTCAGTGGTCATACTCTTTGGACCACAGTGCTGCTGTCTTTCTCAAGATGCTCAAGTCCCTGGCATTCCCATTTAAATTCAATGTGTATTTTGTCTGTGGACAAGTTAATGATAAGCTACATGAGGAGAGGATGGAATGAGTCAGCCACTGAAGACATAATATACAACGTAGCCAGAAGTGAATAGATTGAGAAATCTCATTCGTATGAAGAGACAGCTTGAAGTTCGTAAGGTTGGAAATCTCAGATGAACCATTTGTAGATAAGTTAGTTCAGTGCAGACCTGCTTTGTGCCAAGGTTGGTTAGGCAAGAATATGGGGCTTAAAAATGATGTCGACATTGCAAGCCCTTCCTTCAGATGGTAAGTACTGGCATCATTCTAACTGGTACCACGCAGTGGTAAAGTGGTAACGTGTTTTGAAATTTGTGAATCTCTAATCAGAAAAAAAGAATGGGCTTCCTTAAAAATGCATCGTGTCACCTGGAAAGCCCTGAACATATTTCAAGTCAGTGATGATGAACTTATAAAACACATACTTCTTCTCTTTAGACAAAGAATCTTCATGTTTTAGGAAATCAGTGGCTCCAGAAGCTTCTCATTTTTGCTGACTTTGCTTTTATTTCTTCATCCCAACATTAAAATTTAAATATGATCAATGATTTTTCAGCAGTGATATAAGTAAATGCTGAAGGACTATTAAAGGTGAAAAAGAATATAAGCAAGATACATCTGTGACTAGATTTGTCTTTCTCAGGCTATCCTTGCTTCTGAGTGTTAGTTTTCTTTGAGGTATATTTATGCTAAGTTCTAATAAATTGATATTTTTTTCAGTTACTTGGAGTCTTACAATTTAAATTGATTTTGCTCATTTTGGGTTAAACTTGGCCCTGGGTGTTCAGAGTGTATATTTCTTGAATGTACATCACCATCATTACATTTCTGTGAGGATAGATACGAACTGAGATATAAAATATTAAACCGTATACATTAATATAATATGCTTGGTAAATAATAAAGTGTTTCAGACAGAGTATCATGTTCACTCAGCAATTTTTTGTGCTTGGTGACTGTAATCTATGTCTCAGAATCCTCTGTAGTCTGGTGGCATTTTCTTAAGACATAAAATGCCCATACAACATTTTGAATGTATCTCTCTCTAAAATTACTGGGATATATCTGTGCCCTGGGAAATAGCTATGCAGGTAAACCAAAAAGTGAATTGAAATAATTATTGGGGGCAATTGAAAGGAAATTGAAAAACCAAAGGTTTGACTAGAATACACCAAATTGACTCTCTACTTTGAAATTGAATTCTTGGCCTTATGGCGTGCTCTTCTTTGCTAGCTGCCTGCATAGATCTTAGTGCTGTCAGGTAAAACAAATGTTAATCACTGTCTATGGCCACAGAAAATCAATATTTTAAATTCCTCGGCATACGTTTCCCAGGGAAATTTCTTCTGGCAGTTTTTTTATAAGCCCCGTTTTATGTACACGTCCATGCCACAGGTTACATAAGATTTTTTATAAGTTCTATGATCAGGTGATATCTATTAGCATAAAATTACAATTGTGACTTATTAAAATGCCAAATATTTAGTCCAAAATTGTCTCATTCGAGGTACACACTCATAATTATTTCTTAGTCATAATCCTATGCATCATGTTTAAAGTAATTTACAATTGTTCCTTTTAACTAGCAACAAAAAATAATTTAATATTCTCCAGGTAAAGGGGAGACAGAGTCTACTAATAGTTATCCCTTATAAAATCAGGCCTCTTACCACATTCTCCCATTTCATACTACTTCAAAGTGATACAGCAGTTCTTGCATTAGAAATCACTGTGGATAAGGCCTAAAATATTAAGATTTTGTCAACAAAATCACTTCCCTCAATAGTAACATTGGTTTTAAGATAAATAAAAATAAAATACACTTTCAATTAAAAAAAGGATTCAAGATTTTTAAGGGAAAAGCAATGACGTCACTTTTTATGCACACGTTTTGGCAAATTTTGCAGAGATTTATTTGGCACGCTGTGGTTAATGTTTCTATGCAGAATTGCATAATGTCATATACCGTCTTTTTTCTACAGGTTTTTTTTTTTCGTTGAGATATATTTACCAAGCTTATCTACCCAGAGAAACCCAGTAATCAATCCCGGTTACCCACACAAGCTAAGAAATAAGTCCTTGTGATAGGAACTTTCAGGGAGTTGCCGAGCAGTTTGAGTGCTAGAAATCTCAATAATGGACATGTATTCTCTTACATTTGAATTGTCGTTGGTTGCTTCTTTATTACACACTCAAGGCTTGAGATTAGGATGAGGGCCACCTACAGAAGAAGGATGCTCATATATTTAGCAGACTTTCTTCTACTTGCCAAGACACGATACTCACTTTAGCACATGCTTGTCCATGGAATCATACCTTAAAGGAAAAAACAGTAATGCACGTTGACATGTTTGGATCGAGTCAGAACTGAGAATCAATACCAATAATTGAGGCAAAATCCTTCAAGATCTTCAGAGAACAAAGGGGAATATTGACTTCTAAAAGTTTGATGGCCCTTTAAGTCCAAATGTAATATCCCTTGACATGGAAATCAGAAGGCCCAGCTCTCATCTAATTGTCTGGTAATTTGAGTTCCTTTCAGATGGTCTCATCACTATTACGGAGATCTAGAAGGATCAAACCATGGGTTGACCGACAGTGGGGGAAGGGCATGCAAACTCACTGGCATTCAGGGGCTAAGCATAACTGTGTAAGTTTTACTTTTTCATACACTCAATAAGAAAATAAAAATCGATTAAATTATTCTCGCAGCTTTTATCGCAAGTTATCAAAGTGTTTCTAAAGCCGCAACCTACAGTTCTCACATGAAGTTCCCAATATTTATTGATAAGAAAATATCTATACTCTGCCTTGACATGTTTTTCTTAGCATTTTGCTGATTAATATGTATGTAACTTTGGTAGAAATCTCAGCATTGCTGGCATTTGATTTAATTTAATTGTCAAAAAGCTGTTGGATGAAAAATAAACAGATTCCATCTCAGGATGTGACAGAACCAAGATTTCTCCAGCATTTACAAAATTTAATACTCATTTCGTCTCTATAACACTATCTTTTCAAAAACCAGAGTATTAAAAACAAAACTTTCGATTGAAAATATGGCACTTTTGGGGGGGAGATTAAGGTTTATAGTCAAATGATGACTGTTTAAGTCCGTGTAGCACATCCTTGTGTTAAAA